CTACCCAGCTGTCACATGGATGGCATTGTGTTCATCAAGATGTCACGTCACTGTGACAAGGCACCTGACATTAGCAATTTGAGGGGATTGGCTGGGCTTCAGTTTCAGGGTGTCAGCCCAGAGTCCTTGCCTCCGTTGATTACAGATTCACAGTGAGGCTGAATATCATGATGGTGGAGCATGTGGCAGAGGATATCCACCTCAGGATGGACAGAGGAAGTGGCCCTTTGTAACTTTCCAAGACATCCCCTCCCCAAAGACCTACCCACCCCCCAACAACTAAGGCCTCCTGTAAAGTTTCCACCAACTCCCAGAACAGCACAGCCAGGTGAGGACCAAGCGTGGGGACATTGTACATTCAAAGCCTTCTGCTTTTGAAGACAGCTCAGCCCATTTCCTCTGCTGTGACAGAACACTTGAGATGTGGTGTTTCAGGGAAGAGGAACTTATTGTCCAGGGCCGCCTTGCTGAGAAGGAAGACGTGTAAGGTGCATGCATGGACGGGAGGAGGGCTTGCTCCTGTCACAAACCCATTTCATGAGGACTCTCTCTTACTACTGCGCTTGTCCCTTCACGACAACAGAGCCTCTCGAAGGTCCCACTTCCGTCTCTGTTGCTCTGGGAGCCAGAGCACAAGGATGCTGGGGAGGCCTTGGCACTGTGGCAGGATTGCATTGCCAAGGATGCATTTTAAGTCTGACCTCAGCAGGGGCCCACCAAGCAGCAGCTATAAAATACGGAGAACAAGCGTGGGGGTGTGCGCTGAAGCCCCCATCGACAGTCAGGGATGCACTGTCTTCCATCCTGGAGGTGAGACTCCAGGAGCCTCCGTCCACTGGGCCCACTCCCTTTCTGCATGCTCTGCAGAGAAGCCATGTCTTTCCAAAGGGGAGCATACTGATCTCTGCTGCCACAACACATAACCTCCCGCCCAGCCGCGGTCCTGTCTGCTCTGCCCACGAGGTCCCTGTCTCGTCCTATCTCTGGCCTCCTTTTCCATCATTGCGCTGATTACTTCCTCATTGCTGTGACACAATCCCTCCCCACATCCCAACCGAAACGCCCCGCAGTAGGAAGGCTTGTTCTGGCTCATGGTTTGAGGACGCAGCCATCGTGGTGAGGGAGGCACCGTGGCAGGCGAGACTCCCGCCGACCCCTCACCTCACTTCTTGAGGAACCAGGAAGCACAGAGGAGCATTGTGCTCGCTGTTTCCCCTTCCTGTTTATTCAGTTCTGGACTCCAGCTCATGGGATGGAGCAGTCCTCACGAAGGGCAGGTCTCCCTTCTCCAGTTAACCTCCCTAGAAACACCCTCACAGACATGCCCCAGGCTGCGTCGTCCAGGTGGCTCTAAATCCAGTCAAGCTGACAAGATGTAAGCCTCAGGAGTTTATGTGGAGGCCGAAGCATGGCGCCTCGTTAGATCTTCACACCCAATGGGATGTTGTTACTATTATTCTCATCGTGCAGATTGTGGAAGTGAGATTTAGATTAAATACTCTGCCCCGGGTCGGGAAATGCTGGATTCCAAATGTTTGCTTCACACGGGCCTGGTGAGGGATTTAATGACATAAATTTCATAAGCCACCCAGTATGGAGCTCATACAAAGAAACATCTGTGCATCTCTATAAGAGATGGAGAGAAATAAAAAAGAAATATGTTGCCTCCAGTGGGAGCCTAGCTTCTGTGCAGGGGATGTAGGACTCACCTGGTTTCCAGGGCTGACACCTGTCAGCCATCACTGTCAGGCTGAATGGACTGAGAGGATGCTGCCCCACAAGCTGTGAGCACACCAGGCCCTCACTGGCTCCTGACAAAGCTGAAGCTTCCTACGAACCGGCACAGACTGTGGCTGTAAACACTTCCAAGATGTGCGAGCCCTTATTTTTGAGGTGCAGACACATAAATGGGGTGTCTCATAAAACGTGACAATCTGCTCTGGTGATGGTACTTTTGAAACCTAAATGTAAAATCACATCTTCCTCCAAAATGGTGTTATGATACCAGCTGCTCTGACTGGGAACTGGGGCAGAAGTGGCCACCAAGCCTAGCCTACTTGACAAGTTCTAGCTGGTGAGAGACCCTCTAAAAAGAGGACGGCAATGCAGCAAGAACAATACTCAAGTACCAAGGTTGTTTCCGACCTCCACATGCACATGCCATGAGCAGGCACACCTGTGCACTCACGTAAGTACTCATAGGCACACACACACACACACACACACACACACACACACACAGAGAGAGAGAGAGAGAGAGAGAGAGAGAGAGAGAGAGAGAGAGAGAGAGAGAGAGAATTAACACTGACACAGTTGCAGGGTTTGGGGAGAGGTGTATAGGGGGATGAATTCTAAGGAGATACCATGTCCACCATTACTGGACTAAAGCTGTTTTAACACCTGTAAGATGGTTATAATTCATATCCAGCATCTAAGGTTTTGAGAGGTTTGGAGATGTGGGTGAGGGAAGAGTCCTGTGCAGTGTGAAATCAGGATTGCTATAGTAACGGGCTGGTACTAGAGATCATAATGACAGAGCCCTGTGATGGTGACATCCAGCTTTGATGGTGGTGAGCCAGGGCAGGGCACCTGCCTACTCAGTGCTCACTGTGATCAGAGAGCTTGGGGGCATGATGCCAGGAGTCGATGTGGGCAACGCTGTTCCCATCAATACCCTAACATTTGCTTTGTCCTTGAGTCTCACACCCTTGTTGACACAGAGGCCATTAGGGACAGAGGACAGCCTTGGAAGTAATGGGCTGAAAGGAAGCAGCAGCTGCACTTCCTCTTGAGATGGCAGTGTCAGGATCAATCTCAGGCTGTCACTAATGTCACCAAGGTCTGCAGCAGCGTTGGGTTGGGATCAGGAACCCTGTCACTCTTGAGCCCAGCCTTGGAAACAACGCCAGGTCCACAGCTCAGTACTAAAGATCCCCACACGGCCTCAAAGGCTTCTATTGAGCCCAGGAACCAGTGTCACCGACATCAGTGACACTGCATGGTTCATGCTGTGTGGAAAATGCAATAAACCTTTTCTCCAGGGACAAGGGGAGCCATGCAACAACATGGGACCAGGTTGACCCATCAACATTGAGCTTGACTGGAAGTTTGCCCCAGAAGTTGCCGACTTACAGCGCTTCCCTAGGTGGGTGGGTGGGGGTGCTGGGGGGAGGGGGATGAGCTGTGTGCTGCCTGCCTTTAAGGTGGCCTGCTTCAGCTGCTTCATTTAGCTATAGGTTAAATGGACAGCAGTAAAGGATTCTGCACATTGCAGTTTGCCTATCAAATGAGACATGGGGAGATCATCAAAAACAGGGCTGAGGTTCCTGGTGTAGGCTGAAAATATTAGGCCACAAATTGTTAACTGGAAAAGCAAGATATCGTACTGTATATTTAATAGTGGCCAATGCTTATGAATGGGAAAAAACACATGGGCATGTGTGCACATACCCCTAAAGTCAGGAAAGAGACACAAAAAAGTTTAATGGTCACCAGGCTCTCTCAACATGGGCTACAGCAATGAAAACCTGTTTACTGTGTGTGTGTGTGTGTGTGTGTGTGTGTGTGTGTGTGTGTGTGTGTGTGTAGGGGGGGTTCTTTTAACACCCTGCTTGTCTGCATTCCCAGCTTTCTTCATCTAATGTTTGTGTCATTTTTAACCTGGAAAAGGCGGGTTCCAGAACAGGCACAGCACCACCTATACTGTTTTAAAGGGGACAAAACCAAGAACCCAGCAGCAGGGGATGGGATAAATGAAATTTGTGCATTCACACAACACAGAATTAACCAGCCTGAAGCTTTCACACTGGAACATCCATGATGTCATGAGAAGGTCGATGCTGCCCCCTCAACCCCAATGCCTCTCCTTTCTTCTTCTTCTCCTTCTCCTTTTTTTCTTCTTTCCTTCTTCTTCTTCTTCTTCTTCTTCTTCTTCTTCTTCTTCTTCTTCTTCTTCTTCTTCTTCTTCTTCTTCTTCTTCTTCTTCTCCTTCTTCTCCTTCTTCTTCTTCTCTTCTTCTCTTCTCTTCCTCCTCCCCCTCCTCCTACCTCTCCTCCTTCTTCTTTTGAGACAAGGTTCCTCCGTGTAGGTTTTGGAGCCTGTCCTGAAACTAGCTCTGTAGACCAGTGTGGCCTCAAACTCACAGAGGTCCGCCTACCTCCACCTCCTGAGTGCTGGGATTAAAGGTGTGCGCCACCACTGCCCAGCCTCCTTTCTTCTTGTAGGAAGGTGAAGGACTGAGTTTTCCAAGCTCCTAATGACTTGGATCCTACAGTAACCTGGCTTTAGATATCTCTGAGGCTCCAAAACCAAATCTCCAGCAGAAGAACTCAATAAGCCACCATGCTTCAGAAACAGACTCCTTCCTGCATCAAACTGTTATGAACACGGGGGATTGTATGTCACTGTGTTTGTTTTCATTTGTTTGAGTCCGTGTCTCACATAGACCAGGCTGGCCTTATGTAGCAAAGGCTGACCCTGTCTTTGACTCTCTTGCCTCTACCTTCCCCGTGCTGGGATTACCATTCCGAGCCACCATGTCTGGTTTTATGCAGTGGCTCAGATTCAACCCAAGGCTTTGTGCAAGTACTTTACAAACTGAGCGATAGCCCCAGCCCTGTTTGCTTGTGGCTCCCTCCTTTTTCCCCGTTCAGCCTGGGACCCACCATGGATGATGTCACCACACTCAGTTTGGGTCTCCCTTCCTCTGTTAACCCAACCTGGAAACCCCTCGAGGGCACATGCAGAGGTGTGTCTCCCAGGCGATTCCAAGTCCAGCCAAGTTGGCCATGAAAAGAAGCCCTGTGCCCAGCCTCTCATCCCTGCTTCTGTGGCTCCTCTCAGTTTCCACTGAGTCTCTTCCTCCTTTCCCTACTGAACACTGATACCTCTGCCTTCACACTCTTCCCCTGAGAATCAGAAATGAGAAGTCATGTAAGTGGTAATGATGATGGCCATGGCGCTCACAATGTAACGACCCTGGCAGACACCTCAGGCCTGGGTTGAGTAATTAGCTGGTTTATTCTGCACCTTGTACCCCTGGATGAAGTGGACTTTTGTCCTTTTCCATCTGGAGCTGTCAAGCGGTGAGATAACTGGATGGATCGGAGCAGCAAACAGAAAAGCATCCTTAGTCACAGGACATGGCTGGCGAGCACAGCAGGAGCACCCAGGTAGCTACAGATCACAACCATCCAGCCACCTTTCTAGGGTGTCCGACAGATGGCAGTTCCTGGACCAGGTGGGCCTGCAGAGGGAAAGCCAGAGAGTGGTCAGCAGTGGCTCCTTGGAGCCACACAGTTCATACCAGCCTGGCCCTGGGACTTGTGTGTCTCCCCAGTGTGGACACATTTCCTCAGGCTTCTGTGCATCTTAGTATTCACCCTGGTGTGGATACAGGTGCTTCCTCCACGGTGTGCTCACACTGCCCCTGCCTCGCACAGGAACCCCACCCAGCTGAGGCACCACAGCCTTGTGAACTATTAGTCACTCCTCCCAGAGAGCGTCAGGGGTCTTTGACCAGCCCAGGGTCCCAGGTGTGTCCTCAGCCGTGGGCTCCTTCCACCTGTCTGTGTTCCTACTTCATTCCCTAGCATCTGAAGCTTCTTCCTCTCTTCACTTTCCTTGGGGATCTGACTGATCCTTTAACCTTTCCTCCCAATGTCCCCATGGTCTTTCCCCTAGTTCCAGTCCCTAATGCCCACGCCTGGACCCAAGTCCCTAACCCCATCTACTGCTCCTCAGCCTTGCAGGGCTCCGCTCATCTTCAGGATGGGGACCCATAGTAGTCCCTAAGTGGTCCCTGGCCCCTTGTAGCTGTGGCGTAGCAGAAAATACACACATCCACATTCTCAGAAGTCCCAAGGCTCCTTCTAGCCCAGGGGCAGATGATAGGGAAGGGGTTCCCCAGGACTGGAGGATCTTCTTTCCTCTCTTGTTCACACAGACCAGGAAGGTGACTCTGTCTGAGCTGTGGCAGATCCATGGCTGCATGTCAGCTTACTCAAAGCCTGCCTTACCAGGAGTCTGTACAATAAGGCACCTCAGCCAGCATGACCCAGCTTACTGTTCCATAGTGCCACACAATAAAGATGACTTCTGCTCATTAGTGTTTATCCCAGAGACTCAGCCAAGCTCACCAAGTAAGTAATGAGAAAGCCCAAACCACATATGAAAGGCACAGTTGTCATTAACAAGGAGATTTCCACCATTGGGTGCAATCTGCTCTGTTAGCAGTGAAATTGCACAAATGGACTCATGATGTTGACCATAATGAGTAGACTTAGCAGAAATTAAAGATCCACCTACCTCACTTCTCGTATCAAAATCAATTACAGAGGAATCTAAATTTTAAGTATAAAAGGATAAAATCATAAAAATTCTATTTTTCTTTTTAATTTAGCATAAATATCTAGGGTTTACTTGGCATCAGCAGTGTTCTGATATGGAGAAAATGCGAATGGAGTTATTTTCAAGGCTCAAGTATAAAATATCTTAAATTCATGTGCACTTGTATTTTCATGAGTGTGCAGATGTACAAATGTGGGGGGGTGTATTTGTGTGTGTGTATGCATGTAGAAGTCAGAGGATAATATCAGGTGTTGTTCCACCTTGTGTTTTGAGATCGGGTCTCCCATTGGTCTGGAGCTGGCTGCAGTAAGGCCCAGAGACCCACCCATCTCCACCTCCCCACTGCTGGGATTACAACGGATGCATGTCACCATACTTAACGTTTTTTTAAAACACAGGTTCTGAGGATCAAACTCGGGTCCTCATGCTTTCAAGGTGAGTACTTTACCAACTGAGCCTCCTCCTCGGTTCTTAAAGACGTTTCTAAGAAGGGGTTTCACGTAGACCCACAAGCCGCAAGAGAGAAGACAGAGGGATTTGATTCTAAGAAACAGTTAGGTCTCGTCTAGGATGAAGACGCCATCCACATAGTCAAAGCACAAATGACAAACCTAAGACAACAAGCCACAGATGCAATTCCAAACACCGACCAGCCCCAGTTTATAAAGGACACGTTCAAAATGAGTGAGAAGGTGCAGGAGGTGGCCCAGTAGTGAAAAGCAACCGCAGACCGTTCCCAACTGCCTGTAACTCCAGCTCCAGGGAATGCAGTGCCCTCTTCTGAGCTCTACAGGCACTGCGCTCATGCGCGCGTGCACACACACACACACACACACACACACACGGACCACACCACACACATAACACACACACACATAGACCACACCACACACATCACGCACACACCACACACCACACACACATACCACACACACACACACACGGACCACACCACACACGCACGGACCACACCACACACATAACACACACACATAGACCACACCACACACATACACCACACACACATCACACACCACACACACATACCACACACA